CCAAGTTTGCAAGGCAAACAATTACGTATTTGGGTTATACCATTTCTGCTACGGGGATCAAACCCGCAGAAGATAAAATCGCAGCCATCCGGCATTGGCCAGAGGTGCTGGAGAACGAAACACAAATGCGCCAGTTCCTCGGTACCATAAATTAGTGTCGCATGTTCATGGGACCGGACTATGCAGACGTTGCCCGGCCGCTGGTTGATCTTACGCGTAAAGACGTCAGTTTAGAATGGACAGAGCTTCACACGCAAGCGCTGCGGCAGCTCAAACAGCGGTTAATCGACTTCACTACACTACAAGCCCCTGATACCACGAAATCCTTCGAGTTATACACAGATGCCTCTGGTTATGCGATCGGAGCGGTTCTAGAACAAGAAGACAAGCCCATCGGTTTCTTCAGCCAAGTTATGAACCCCACACAACAGAAATACTCGATCTACGATCAGGAACTCTTGGCGTTGGTTACGGCCCTGGACAAGTGGTATTATTTGCTCCGTTTCGCCAAAGTTACAGCTCATACAGATCACCAAGATCTTACCTATCCCCAGCGACTCCAAGCATCGAAGCCTCTGCGCGGATGGACCGCTCGGTGGTTAGATTTCCTGGCCGAGTTCCCCGATTTGCGCATCACTTATGTTCAAGGAGAGCGAAGTCAGGTGGCTGATGCCTTGTCTCGCCGTACCGGTCTTCCTAACACCTGCTCGCACGACACACCACCGGCACCACTGATGCTCGCAGTAGAACAAGCGCGCGAGGTTCCTCGCTCTTGCGGTCGACCTACTAACTACAGGGAGCTCGCCGGAATTCCTTCGCGACGATTCAGACAACGCACCTTGCCATCACCACCTTTAACTCCGCCGCCTGAGCCCAATCCAGTGGCGGAACGTCCTACAGCTGCAACGAAGACACTAGCTGACCCTCCTGATGTGCGCCATTGGCGCAAGCTTACTCGAAGTGTTCTGTTTTTCGCGTTCCCTACAAAGCCGCAGCAAACCAACCAGGAGAAGCTCTGGAAATCGAGTTTTGTAATCGCCAATTCACCTTCCGCTACGTAGAGCCTTACCTGCACATCCGCGTTCATGGACTGTGGCGCATCTGCGTCCCACAATTCCCTGAGTTCCTTACTCACGTTCTGCATTCAC